CTAAAAAGTTGGGTAGAGTTTGAGCTAGCAGGTTTTTACAGGGAAAAAGCAGTGGCTGTTCTGGGATTCCCCAGGCATGGTTTGTTTGCAAATATGATTACTGCCTCTTTAATGTAGGATTGAGTGGAGAGGAAGAAGTTGTTGCTGATGAAGTTAGTCATGAGAAAATAAAACGGGTTTCACAGGGGAAGAGTAAGAAGGAAATGAATTTCAGGGTAGCAAAAGCAGCAACTAGATTTTAAGAATCTTGTCCCTCTGGAGCTTTGAAACTTCGTCTCACTCAAGGAGTGTAGCAGCTGCCACGTTCCGGTGTGTGCTGTCTCCTCTTTTATTACCCAGCACTTCACTTTCACAGGCAGGTGCTGAGAACACCTAAAAACCTCATGTAGCATTTTGCTTTGTCGAGATCTGAGTCCTTTGGTCCTGCCTCAGGCTAATCAATATCCTGCAGGGTTTTTTAGCCAATCTTCTTAGCTATAGGAAATTAGGCCAAATTCAAAGAGTTGACTCTCCAAATCAGTTTCTTGACCATCATTAAGTTGTGGAGTACATTATTTTTCTTATTCTGCTGAAGATTCTATTTTGTCGTAGTTGCCTTTTCTCAGCACAGTGAACAGGACAGACCAGTTCTTGGGCGAGCTGCTCTTCTGGTATGAGCCAGATGAAGTTTTTCTCCTAGCTCTGCTGGTTCATGTTGGTTTTCCATAGCTGAGAGGGATGAACAAACCTGTCACTTATTCATATGTGTTGGGTTTCTGGGAGGTGGGATGGGTGAGTTTATCAAAACGGGTTTTGTAGACCATCATTCATAGGAAGAAACCCTTAGTATCCCAGACCAGGTAAGCCGTGACTAATATCTCAGCCAAGCAGACACTGCTTCTGTGGCTCAGTGAAGTTACGGTTGTTGCAGGGAGGAATGTGCCAGCCAGAGAGAAAAGAGCATCTAAAGCCCATGGCCTGAAGGCAGGAGTACTTACCTGGGAGGACGGGGAGCAGAATTTTAGTCCTTGCTTTGACCTGGAAGAACACTGGTGGTTAAGAGGTTCATTTCCCATATTTCTAGCAGACATGTCCATTTTTCTGGGGCTGCAAATGCTTGTTTGCTTGCTTTCTAAAGTTGATCTTTGTATCCATGAGGAGACTCACAGGGTAAATTCATAGGTTGATCCAGAGGTTCTCTTCCTGGCCTGTCGTGAAAAATGGAATGTGTTCGGGCACACTTTCTAGGTTTTTGGCTTCATCGAGGGAGGTGATTCTGCCCCTCTACTCTGCTCTCGTGAGACCCCACCTGGAATACTGCGTTCAGCTCTGGAGTCCTCAACACAAGAAGGACATAGAGCTGCTGGAGTGAGTCCAGAGGAGGGCCATGAAGATGATCCGAGGGCTGGAGCACCTCTGCTATGAAGACAGGCTGAGAGAGTTGGGGCTGTTCAGCCTGGAGAAGAGAATGCTCCAGGGTGATCTTATAGCAGCCTTCCAGTACCTAAAGGGGGCCTACAGGAAAGCTGGAGAGGGACTTTTTACAAGGGCGTGTAGTGACAGGACAAGGGGAAATGGCTTTAAACTGATAGAGGGCAGATTTAGATTGGATATAAGGAAGAAATTTTTCACTCAGAGGGTGGTGAGGCACTGGAACAGGTTGCCCAGAGAAGTTGTGGATGCCCCATCCCCGGAAGTGTTCAAAGCCAGTTTGGATGAGGCTTTGGGCAACCTGGTGTAGTGGAGGGTGTCCCTACCCATGGACGGATGGAACTAGATGATCTTTGCGGTCCCTCTCAACCCAAACAATTCTATGATTCTATGATTTTGTCTCGAAACGTCTGTGTTTACAGCAGGCCACTTTCCTGTTACAGCTGCTCTCCTTTTGGCTACCTTCCTTCTTAGCCCAGTAGTTCTGTCACTGACCCGACTTAAGAGAAGTGCATTCATAGCTGACAGGCTTCTGGCTATTTGTGGAGTCGCTTCTTTCCCCGTAATATTCTACTCAGCATTAGGTCCTTATGCTGGAGGGGAGACTGCCTGGCACGTCAGCCCCCCTGTGAAAGCAGTTACGTTATTGGAGAGGGTTATGGGCATTTCTTACTCTCTGCGGTGTCCTTCATTTTCTGCCTGTCTTGCTTTAACCTGATTAGCTGTCGTGTAGATCAGAGCAGGAGGCCATCAGGAAACGGAATGGTTGCTTCAGAGCCTTGTGCACTGTTGTGGTTTCAAAGGAGTGAAGATGACTGACGCTCCAGATTCTGCTGTCCTACAGCCTGGAGCAAGGATTGGGTCCTTCAGGTCCCACACTTGCTGCAGATTGCCCCAAGTATCGAGCTGTCACTTGTACAACTGACTTACTGTCTGTTCTGTTAGCTAATCCGAAGCAGAAACTACAACAGAAGATAATTCTCTAGAGCTGGTGAGTCTCTATAAGCACAGCCAGTGATCTGTCATCGCTTGCTGTGTAAGAAGCCAAAGTTAGCCTGGGGCATTGTTCTTTTATGTAACAGAGGGGAAGCGGCTCTGGTCCAGGTGATCCAGAAGCCTGAGGAGCGAGACCATCCTGTGATGTTGTCCTGATTAACTGTAAATAATCCTGGCTCAACTGCCCTGTTCTGTGTCTTCACCCTTTGCTGTTTTTTCGGTGCAAGGAAGGGGAGGGACATGTGTCTGGTAGCTACTGGAATATCTCCTGTGTTTATGAATGGGACTACCTGTGCTGTGATACTGTTTTTGGTGCATGCGTGGAATGAAGTATGGTGGGAGAGAGTGGGTTTATGTACAAAAGCATCTACATAATTAACTCAGCCATTAGGTAGGAGCATTTAAATCCTTAAAGACATTTTCTGTAGGAAGTAGAGGGTAATCATCTCCTCGGGCACCGAAGAGGTTAGGTGGTGACTTCTGCCTTAATTGCATGTCAGGAATTTAGGTGTCGTTTTTGAGTCTCTCCTGAAATAATTTATTCGGTATCACAAGGATTTAAACCTAGTCGTACTGCCAGGGTGACACCACCGTGGCCAGGCCATTTTCACTAGCTCATGTGTCCCCACAGTGAGGGCCCAGGTCCCTTTGCTCTTTCAGTCCCACAGGAACAAATGCCAATCAGCGGTGGGGGGCAGGAGCGGACACTGCCCCAAGTCACAGAGGGTATTCCAGGATAGCGGGTTCCTCTGTTTCAGGTACTGTCACGGGAGCATCCTAAGCCTTGCATACCAGTTAACCTTTCCCATAGTTGCTATATGTGAAAGGGCTTTGATCTATGAATGAGCCCAACATATGGTGCTTGCTCACTGTATGTTAACAGCAGAGATGTTATTTTTAGCTCCTGAATTCTTTTCCTCCTTCACTATTGGAGCTGAAAGACCTTTCGTCCTTAAGACAGGCAACTGTTGACTACGTACCCTATTTGGGACAACATGCTCCATAAGGCTAACGCCTCTATTGGGAAAAACTTTTTTTTGCAAAATGGGTAAGTGGCTTTTTAAAAAGCCAGTAAAAAATCTAAATAAAGTAGTCATGTTTTAAAAAGCACTGTTATCTTTGGAACATGCAATTTACAGAACTCACTGCAGTAATCCTTGATTTAGAACAATTACTGCACTAAAGTACTTGCTTTTTTCCCTTTAAAAACAAAAATAAAAACCAAAACCAAACCGCAAACCAAAAACCAGACAGGTTTCCAGCAAAGGCTGGGATAATTGACTGGAATGGAAACGTAGCCTTGTCTTGCAAAACTCCAGTATGCAGTTGCTGTTCTCTCAGAGGTCTTTTCTTCTGCCATCTCAGAGCATTCCCTTGCCTGGTCACTTGTTTTGCCCTTTTTTTTTTTTTTTAACGTAATCACTAGTTGCTGGAAATAAATATTGCAAGAACTAATACGCTGGTCACATTGTTACAATTGGGTTTGTGTGCAGCGCATGGTGGTTTAAGAGGAAGCTGTTTTATAACATTTTGAGTTACGAAATCTCTTACACAACGGAGTTTAAGGGTCAGTTACAAACAATCTAATCACAAAGCTTCCTTAGGCCATAACACACCTATGTAATTTCTTGTAGCTCAAGCTTGATGCAGTCCAGTCTCACACCAAACGAGATTCAGGAGCGAGAACACAAGGTCTGCTGATTCAATGCACAGTTCATAATCCTTCTTTTGCAGTGGTGCTCACAAACCATCGGAACAGTTTATCTATGGCTACAGCTTTGGGTTTTTTTTTTTTGCTTTTGAAGTCCTTTCGTAGAAGTCAGGCAGCTGTGTCCGTTTTCCAAACCTGTGGAATACCAATCCCTGAACAAGAGGGGAAAGGTGTCAGAGAAGTAGCTGAACTCTGGGGGCTTGAACTGTTGTTTGGGGCCTGAAAGGCTCAAACGCCTGCATTTTCAGGTTCCAAGTGTGCAGAGGAGCTGCTTGCTACTGCAGGAGGGTCTCATGGGCACCACTGGCAGGAGGCAGGCCATGCCGACTCTCTGGATCTGATAACCATGAAACCCAGCCCTCCACAGCTGATTCTGCAGCCAGCTCCAGACCCTGACTGCGGGACAATTTATACAGCTGTAAGAAATTCGACTGTAGGCTCCTACCGCTTGTGTGGGCATGGACTGCATCCAGAAAGAAGGGAATCCATATTCCTAATCATCGGCTTAAAACCACTGCTAAGATTTCAGTGGGAAACTGAAAATAGAGGGAGGGATCACAGACCCTGGTTCTTCCACTTGGGCCAAATCTAACTGAGGAGCATAAGGAGGTATGCCTGCCCCTTCCTGACTCCTGATATGAAAACAAGAGGCTGCTTCTCTCTTTAGGAAAAAAAAAAAAGAGAGTAATCTTCCAAAATGACTTACGGTGAGCAAACAGCCGAGCAGACACACTGCATTTCCTGCGAGGGAACACTGAGCCAAAAGTCTTCAGCCTGAGAAGTGACTGTGCCTTCTGGGGCTTGCTTCTGCCTTTGAGGGATTCTACTCCATCAAGCGTGAGCCATTCTCATTTTTTTTTTTAAGCCAGACAATTGACTTCAGTTTTATTACAAAGCTTTTATTAAAAAACAAATGCTCAGCACATTAACTCAAACTGGAATGACAAAAAAAAAAACAAAACAAACGGTTGACAGTATTTTTGGCAAAGGCTGTGCCTTACTATTTTAAAAAATGGGTACATCAATGCTCATTTCAACAACTGGCATAAAATCCCACTAACAGGCTAACAAAAACAGATACAAATACAGAACAATTGAAGTAATAATTCAAGTGCTGGGCTTTTTTACAAGGAGAAGGGGAATGGGTGAGAAGGAGAACTCACTGCAGTCAGGTTTGCTGGATGTATTGCTTATGTTTACAGAGTAGATGATGCAAGACTGACGTGTCTATTGACCAGCTGACTGTTGTTACATTTATTTAGTTCTACAGGACACTGTATTATATAGACTGAGGCCACTATTTGTTACAAATAGTTTTTAAAAAAAAAAAAAAAAAAGCCACCTTTTTTCCATACAGGTTTTTCCTCTGGCAGAAAAAAAGAAAAAAAAAAAAAAAAGAAAAACCCCTTTTATTTAAAAAGTGTTTCAGATTTCTGACACTTGTTTAAAAGCTCATACCTAGTAAAATATACACCAAAGAAATTACAAACTAAAAGTTAAAATATAAAAGCATTCAAGTTTCTTAAAAAAGCTAAAACCAAAATTGATCCTGTCGCACCATTAAATAAAAAGAAGGTTGAGCGTGTCATCCTGGTCCAGGCAAATTCCATTCCTCGGTGTGCTGTATGGGGCAGCTGTGGTCTACGTTACTCTGGTGGCTGAAGCAGGCAGAGACAGCCACTCTACTTTGCTGACTCGATAGGGACACAGATGAGACAGGGCTTAAGGAGTGCAAGGCAGAGGTGGAGTGAAGACAAAAGCTGCTCTGCTGACCCAGGAGCTCGTTTGCTCTATTTATATCGGGGCTGGACCTTGTGATTGTGAAGGATTTTGGCAGTGATTGTCTTTATGATTCAGTGTCTCTAGCAGTGACATCAGGGTGAATGACATCCTAGACAGACTCCTTGGGGGTGGTCTGTGTGGATGAAGGACACACCTAGGGTTTAACAAGCTTCCATCTCCAGAAGGGGTCCTGGTGTCGCCGCCTTTGCTTTGCAAGTTGAGAAAGCATTTCTTTTCCCACCTACATGGAGGGGAGAGAGAGAGAAAGTGTGATAAAGACTATATGAATCCTTTTTAAAAAAAAAAAAAAAAAAATCCTTCAAAGATGCTGGCGATGGGTCACTGTACCTCTATGACAAAACTGTATTAGTGGAATGTGCGTTTGCAATGTCAAAAGTGCAGAGTACCACTACTTGCAAGAATACTTATGGAGAGTACTTTGGATTGTAAATAGAAGTCCACACCAACCAGAAAGGTGGGGTTTTAAGCTATTTAGACATTCGCCATATTACAGAAGTAATTCCCTATGGTAGTGGATTTCATTTATCTACAACATTTGACCCAGATACCTGTTACAAAACTAGACATCCTCAGGCTTTGGCACTACAGTGGCTGAGGTCAATTAAACCTCTGCTTCAGAGCCTCAAGCTCTACTCCCTGCCGAAACGAAGAAATGCAGCCTCCTGTAAGCAGCTGGGTAGAGGATCGTGGTGGTTGAGGCTTGTGTGAACACTGACCCTACCATGCATCCACATGACTGGGGAGGACTTGTTCTGCTCTTCAGTGGGATAGGGTACATCCTATACAACTAGAAGAGCCGTGGGCCTCTTACCTAGCAGTTAAGTCCACTAGGATCTTGGAAGGATTTACGTTCTTATAGCATGTGAAAAGGCCAACAGTGCAAGGTATCGCTCAGCCAGACAGGAACAGCTCTTCATCATTAGGTCTCTGGGTTACATGAGCTGACTTATGCAATTGTTAACTCAACCATCACCCCTGCCCTTCTGACCCAGACAACTGGGTTATAACAGGCACTCCACCCAAAGGCTGTCTAATGAGTCAGGCATTTTTCCACAGATGGACACATGCTCTCCAGTAATGGTCTCCGGATTATTGGTATCTCAAGAAAAATCTACGTTAACCTCTAGGCTTCCAGGTACTACTCAGCTGCCAAAGAAGTAGAGGGTTCAATGAGCAGA